TTCTCCACGAATCCACAATCGGATGTCCAATTTTCTCCGCCTTACCAAATTCACAATGCGTAAACACCGGACATAGATTGTCTGTCCTCTTCCATGGAGTGGGTGGAAAGAGAGAGAGAGGGAGAGGCCAAAAATCAGTCCGACCAGATATTTACATTTGATAAGCCGTCTTTTTACTCATCGATGCGTACAAAAAAAAAAAGGAGAAACGTTGTTCTTTTTTGGCTCATCAAGGCCCTACTTGGTGATCAACGAGGGAGATTGAAAATGCAACTCCATACCAGCCAAATTTAAACAACAACAAAAAAAAAAAAGAAATCACTTTCTGCTTGAGTAATTTGCATGTGACAATTTTGGGTAACTCCGCTTTCGCTGCGTGTTGTGCCAACTTGGCACACTGACAGACTCCCTCCTTCCCTCGTTTTTTTGGGGTCTGTTCACTGCTCTTAATGCGAGAGTACACACATGCAGTGCTTTTATCGGTGGTCTAAAGTTGCTTGGACGTCAGTTGAGTGCCATCTTGACGGTGGAGGGGGGCGGGGGGAGGCGTTTTGGCTGCTCAAACTCGTAAAATAAAGCGTGGAATGGAGGTAACTTGGGTTACAACTTTTTCTCCACTCCCCCAACCTCCGCTCCACCTCCTCCTCCTCCACCAACTTCCCATTTATGTTGCAATAAAAAAGCGCTTCTCGTTCCTTGAAAGTGACCTAAAATGCTGCGTGTTTTCGACAAATGCACTGTGGATGCGAATGTTGTCTTTGATGTGGCCACTGCCAAGACCTTGAACCTACCCTTTCCTAATCACTGTCTGTCTGGTCTGTAGGTCACTCGATCGCGCTGCCCACCCACCACACACATCACAACAACCAACCATGAATGGTAAACCTCCCAACTGACTGCCTCTACGTCTTGCTAGGCTACAAAAAAATCACACTTTTATTACTTTCCACAAGCGAGGGCACTTATTCACTCCGGCTCGGAGAGATGGAGGGAGGGAGGCAGAGAGAGAGCGTGCGATGGAATTGTTCATCTCATCGAATAAAAAAATAAAGCCAAACTACTCTTGGTCGACTTATTTGGAAGGAAGAAAAAAAAAAATAAAAAGCGGGCGTACAGACACACACACACACCCATTTACTCTCAAGAAGTTGAAATTCCCCTTTGATTGATGTTGTCTCTTCGCGGAGTACACGGAGAGGCAGCGTGGGTTCACGTTGGGCAGTGGAGGGGGCGGGGGGGGGGGGGGGGGGCCAGGCAAAATTAGACACCGCTTCGAGTCGGAAGGGATACACCTCCGACAGACTTGTCAATTCAACACACACTTCTCTCACTTTTTTGTAAAGGCATGTAATCATACACCCATCACAGACATCTTTCTCTCACCTGTCATTCACTTTATGCATCGTTAAATCGTCAATAGAGACAAATAATAACAGTTTAAGAGGAGGTGTAACACTTCTACTCACCTTTTTATTTTTGCAATAATTTGTGAGGATTTGCACCTCGGAATGCGCATGTTGACCGTAGGAATTGGGTGTACGAATGCATGTGGTTTGATGGGTGTCGGAAAGCACACAATCATTGCAAATTGCCACTCTACATGCAATGCAAAATAGACTTGCAGGCTCATGTGGATGCTCCGGACAGATGGGAGGTTGATTTTGGCGTTTTTGTCGAACAATTTCAGCTCCAGCAGCAGCTGGATGTAGAGCGTGCTTGAGGAGAGGACCGCGTTTGGGATGACACCGTTCACGACACTCCTCACAGTAGAAGATGCTGCATTGTTCACACCAAACTGTGGCTGGACTTCCACCCTGAGATCCACTTTCACTAAGTCGTGCACCTCCAATAGACAGTGGATCCATGTTGAGTGGATCGGGTTCGTCACAAAGTTGACAAATTGGAATGCCCTGTCTTGCAGGATTGTCTAATTGGAGGACACTAGTCACAGCTTCTTCTCCCACCAATTTAGCCAGTACTCGTTCAAGAGCACGATTACGAGGTAAGTGGTTGATTCCCTTCTCATCCATAAGGGCAACTATTCGATGACACAGAGGACAAGCAAGACCGTTTGTTAAGCTTTGAATGACCTGTTGGGATACAGTTGAAGGATGAGTGATTTGAACAAATCCAAGTAAATTGGGACAAATGATTGTTGGCAATCGACCAGCGTAAAGTCCCACTCTACTCGCCATCACAACACCCGAATCGGCCTCGCTGACAATGCTTTGTTGATCTGAGTCCGTGCCTCCGTGACTAGCGCCGCTGACGGTGGAACTACTGCCCTCCAGGTTGGGATCGTTATGAATTATTGCCTCAAAGGTGGTAGAAGGACGTTTCTGAGAGGCAGTTGACGCCTCATTGGCAGAGATGACAGCCTGAACAGCAGCAGAGACTGTTGCATCGGAGACGGGACGTAAGGCATTGACAGCACATGAGGTGCACAAGGAATGTCCACAGGGTAGAAGAATCGGACTGAGGAAGTAGCGAGAGCATGTGGGACACCGAAGTTCCGGATCCATTTTTGCCAATCCTGTCTGTGATCGGATCGAGGGGGCGGAGGAGAGGGTGGAACACCTGTTTGGGCTTATCACAGCGGGTACAGTCAATGTGTCCTTAGCTGTGGTTGCCATAATGGTTGTTAGCTAGTCCATGTTGGGTCACAGCCCTGTCAATACAACTTAACTTTTTTTGGTTAAAAAGGGGGAAAAAATATGGGCAAAATGAGAAAACAATGAGTCGGCAATACACGTTGGTCTTGCGAATGAAGCTGCAGCGGGCTTCTGGGGCGTGTGGTGACAAACGTGCCTCTGTGCGTGGGTGCGTGCATGCATGTGCGCGCTCTCCTGGGCCTGTCCACTTACCCCTCGTCTGTAGCGCGGTTTTTGATTGGCTCGTGGGTAGCGTGGGCGGAGGCATATTATCCCACAAATTTGAATTCGTGTATATAAGACCGAATGCTCGACTACGTTGCCTCCTTTTTTGCCCTCCTATTCAATCGAACCGCCTCCTCTTAGTCGGAGTTTTTTTTTTGTTTAGGCATCCAAAGCAGACTGGTCAGTTGATCAGAGGAGCATATGGGTCTAATGGACACCAAAAAAAGTCCTTCAGTCTGGGTCTTGTCCAATTAATAAGAGTTCTGTGATGGAGCACGAGGTGATAGCATAAATATACTCCTAAAGACAACTGCACCACAATTAATGGGATGTTTTTCGTAAAATATTTTGTTGTAGAGAATTACTTTAGCAAATGCACATTTGTGCCAGGCAGAGCCGATTGGAACATGTCGCTGTCAGGAGGTAGAATCAAGCTGAATTACCGACCATTCTGAAGATGCGTCACAAATATGGGCAGGGTGATCCCTATAAGCTATGTGACCGTAATCCTTAGGGTTAATTGGGTGCAACAGTTGTCAAACCGTATGTTTGTACCAAATGAGGTGAAAGACACGTAGGCC